TGTAAATGTAAACTATGGTGAAATGAGTGGCTTTATAGCAAGGACTCTGTATTTTCTGTATTCATTCACATTAAGATAGAAGTAACCTGTAAACCTTGATATTTTTTTCATGTACCATGGATAATTCTTTTAACTGGACTGAGATCCACAGACCCCAAAGTGCATTTCCAGCGGTGAAATTTCAGGTATCAGCCCAAACAGCAAGGGAGGTATTTTATTATACAGGGGTGAGAGGAGGGTTGGGGAGCATCTTAATTCTCTAAATTAAATTAAATATGCAATTGCCTCCTCTGCCTTTATGTGCTAACAATTTTGATTATAGGAAGAATAATGCTGGTCTTCGCTGATACACTTTAGAAATGGATTTGTTTTGGAAGTTAACATTGGGACAATTTTTTTAAGTTTTCTTGAAGTAGCTATGAGATATTTATTAAGAGAGAGAAATTTAAACTAAACAACTTTCTTTTTCCTTGCAGCCAAGTCACATGGAAGGACCATTTCTTCAAAAATGAGCATCACACATGTGAAAGGATTTTTTTTCTAATAGTAACTCTAATGCCTGGGGCTGATAAGATGTGCTTAGATAACCTGGTTCATTTTGATTGGGCTTTCTCTGCTGTCTTTGGTAGAGACATATGGGTTCAGTAAATGTACACAGTATGAATTGGACATTCACCACGTGTTCTGCATTTGGAAGAAGATCACCAACTTGACAGATGCCATTTGTGACATCCCTGGATACATTACTCACCTCAACCTGACACAAAACCAGATTCAGGTCCTTCCTTCTTATTGCTTTACTAATTTGTCTGCTCTGGTGGACTTGAGACTGGAGTGGAATTCCATTTGGAAGACTGAGGAGAAGGCCTTTTGGGGACTTGAAAATCTGACCCTTTTGAACTTAGTAGAAAATAAGATTCAAAGTGTGAATAACTCCTTTGAGGGCCTGTCCAACTTGGAAACTTTGTTTCTGAGCCATAATCAAATCACCCACATTCACAAAAATGCCTTTGTCCCTCTTTTCAAATTGAAACATTTAAGTTTATCTAGAAACCTTATTACCAACTTTTCCAATATTCTTGAAGCAGTCCAGCATCTTTTGCACCTGGAATACCTTGATCTTACTAACAACAGCATCATCTCCTTAGACCACAGGTCATTGGTTTCCCTAACCCAGCTGAGCCTGCAGGGGAACAAGCTAATGGAATTAAATTTCTCTTCTTTGTCACTGCCTAATCTGACCACTCTGGATGTCTCTCAGAATAGCCATGGAATTATCCAGAATGTGACTCTGTACACTCTGCCCCAACTGAAGAGGTTGAATCTGAGTGGAACACTGGTGAAACTGGAGATGCTTCCAGTCAAACACCTACAGAATCTAAGGGAAATGGACCTTAGTAACCGAGAGTTTAGAGCTGGTCATTTAAATTTGAATACAGTGTGTCACCTCCTCAGAAACTTGCCCATATTAGAGGTTTTGGTTTTTATGAAAAATGCCACTGACACAAGAGGCATAAAGCACTTTGCCAACTGTACCAGGCTTTTATCCCTTGACCTGAGCCAAAGCAGTGATTTGGTTCACCTCAATGACAGTGAGTTTGATGCTATGCCCAGCCTGTAAAGGCTGAATCTAAATATGTGCCAACTTTCCTTTGTCAGCAACAGGACCTGGAGTGCCCTCCAGAACTTGACAGACCTAGACCTGAGCCACAAAAGTTTTAAAAGATTTCCAGATTTTGCATTTTCACCCTTGAGGTACCTAAAATCTCTCTTTCTCTCTAGAAATCCCATTACAGAACTCAATAATATGGCCTTCTATGGGCTGTATTCATTGAAGAAACTCAACTTGGCTGGGTGCTGGATAGTGCAAATTGACAGATACTCCTTTGCTCAACTTTCAAATTTAGAGATTTTAGACCTTGGAGACAATAATATTCGAACTCTGAAGCACAGAACTTTTAAGTTTCTGAAGAAACTCTAAGTTCTGATTCTCTCCTGGAACTGCCTGAATGTTATAGAGAAGGGTGCATTTTCTGGTCTTACTTACCTCTATAAACTTGATCTGGCATACAATATCTTGTCAAGTTTTCAGGCAGGTCTTTTCTTGGGCGTTGAAAATCTAGAAGTTTTGAATCTCGGTTTTAATAAAATTACATATGAAACCACTAAGACCTTGCTATTTCCTCCATTTATGAACCTCAAGTCTTTGAAACAACTTAACCTAGAAGGACAAATGCATGGGATTCAGGTTATTCCAACCAACCTCTTTCAAGGGCTGAATGGCTTGCAGGAGCTACTCCTAGGAAAAAAATCCACGGTATTTTTGGACCATCTCCAATTTGACTTCTCGACTAATCTCACAGAATTGGATATCTCAGAAACAAAATCTGGAGATCGAAGTCTTCATTTAAATATTTCTTTATTCCAAAAACTCAAAAAACTGAAAATGCTGCACCTGGAAAACAACAACATAGAGTCACTGGTTCCTGGTATGTTCTCCAGCTTAGAAGGCCTTCAGGTCTTCTCTTTAAGATTCAACAACCTCAAAGTCATTAATCAAAGTCATTTGGAGCATCTGAAGTCTCTGATGTACTTTGATCTCTATGGGAACAAACTTCAGTGCAACTGTGACAATGTGTGGCTCAAGAACTGGTCAATAAACACAGCAAATGTTCATACCCCTTACCTCCGAAGCTACCCCTGTTAGCAGCCAAATTCCCAGAGTTTGTCGATAGATTTTGATGATGCTATGTGTAATTTTGACCTGGGCAAGGTTTACTTCTTATGTTCTTTCAGTCTGGTCCTCACAACCATGGTCTTCTCTTGGTTCAGTGCCAAGATGGCTTCATCTCTACATTATGGGCTCTTCATATTTCAAGCCTGGTACCTGACCAAGTGGCATAAAACAGAGAAAGAGTTTATCTATGATGCCTTTGTCTCTTTCACTGCCTCTGATGAGCAGTGGGTATATAAAGAGCTTGTTCCAGCTCTAGAAGAAGGTGGCCAGCCCACCTTTAAGCTCTGTCTTCACCACCAGGACTTTGAACCAGGTATGGACATCTTTGAGAACATTCAGAATGCCATCAATGCTAGCCAGAAAACTTTATTTATGGTCAGTAACCACTACCTACACAGTGAATGGTGCCACCTTGAAGTACAGCTGGCCAGTATCAAGATGTTCTCTGAGCATGAGGATGTTATCATCTTGATCTTCCTGGAAGAGATCCCAAACTATGTTATCCAGTTACCACCGACTCAAGAAACTTGTGAAGAGGCATACATTTATCACATGGCCTGACAGTGCCCATGAGAGGCCACTCTTCTGGGCTCATATTAAAAATGCATTGGGCAATAAATCTGTGGAGAAAGACAATGCACAAGTAATTGTGGTTGAATAACTGGAAGTCTTCATGACCTCATATCCAATGTTGCCCAATGTGTGTATACGCTAAGAGTGTTACTGAACGTACCTGCTCTGCAGGGTAAAGGACATTAGCTGCTCTTGACCATAAGAACCAGGATCATTTGGTTAATGTCCATCAGGCAATAGGAAGAGTGAAAGGGGATGCTTGAGGAATATTCAGGAACAGTGTCCCCACTGTTAGGGGATTAGATATCTGGAAAGTATATCTGTTTTATTAAGGGGAAGACTTAGGAGACATTCTGGGGATCAGGAGAGCCCTCATATGTGCTTGAGAACATTACCCCCCTCGTGTCTCCAAATCAGTTCCTCTCAAAATAGATTGAATTGCACTCCTTCTAAGAACCTGTAACAACAGAAACACCATGCAGGGCTCAATAAAAGCAAAAAAAAAAAAAATAAAGTTAGGATTCTGGTGTATTCTTCTTTAGGGCATAAGATTCTGAAAGTCTGTTTTTTCCCTCTGTTTTAGTCAGAGCTCGAGAGTTAAGAAAGTCCTAGTTTGGATACATCAATTTACTAAATGGGAAGCAGCCTTGATGAACTAGCAGTGCAATGATGACTGCAGAAAGTATCACTTAGCTGTGATAAAATAGACTTCATGGACAAAGTAGTTTCTGGCAAGGGCACAGACTCCATAGGCTTCATGCTTTGGGCACCAGGCACACACCAGTGTCCTGTAGCAGACAGTGCCTATTGGAAGCAACACACAGCATAGGGGCCATGTTTCCTGTATTAGGCAAAGGTGCTATAAATTCCTGTAGGAAGGAAGGCTTTCCTACAGGAAAAGTGCAACAAATTTCTAGAGCAAGAGGGACCATAGAGACTAAAAGGAGATCAGCTTATATTGGGAGAAGCAGGGCACCAACACTTCTCTTTTCTGATTGTATCAACATAAGGACTTGGTCTTTTGTTGCTGCCTTCCTTCTCCAGTCTTCCTCTTATCCCTAAGACTTTGGGAAAAGTTTGTCAAGGAAAAGACTCTGAAGAACAGAATTTTTACTGGCTGGAGTAGCCAAATGTTTACTTCAGGGGATTCTAGCCAGGCCTCTTTGTAAAATAAGTGAAGAGAGGTCAGCATGTTTTGGACAGGACTTTTGTTAAACCATTAGCAAAATTATCCAAGGGCATTTGTGTGGGAAATTATGAGTCCTCAGCTGGATGTTTATGGGTTGAATATTACATTGTAGCAGGAAATAATTTGCAACTGCTACATGGCACATGCAAGAAACATCACATTAATTTCCTTTAAATCAAATGATATCTGATTTTGAGGTTCTGTTCTGTTAGACTAACCCTTTGTGTTCTTGCTTAAAGAAAAAAAAAGTTGGTGGAAGACTGCTAGAAAAGAAGTGTTCAGGAATGAAAAATATAACTTTTTTTTTTTTGCATCCTGAAAAAAAAGTTGGGGCAGCTTCTCCAGGCTTTGGTCCACACTGATTACTAGTAGTATTCCCATTGTCCAAGCTAGATCCCTGGAGTCTGAGGGCTCTTCTGTCTCAGGACTAAGCTTGGCAATGCTTTTCTTTTCTTTTCTTTTTTGTTTTTCTTTGCTGAAATTAGACATAGTCATTTCCTCCTGAAGCACTATCACCTCCCAGGAGATGGAGTGGGTCTTGGATTGCACCACTCAAGAAAACGGCATACCTCTGTTCTTTTCCTGGTCTTGAAACTGGGCCCTAACACTGAAACCAGACCCTAATAGGTTTTTTTTCTAGTTTTAAGTGCCTTTCAGGAGATAACAACAGGCCTCCTCACAGTGTTCCAGAGACCACCAGACCAGGAGGTATCAGAGTGGTCTCAGAAGACTGAGCAGATGAAGTTAGCTAAATAACCTTAAGCACAGCGGAACCAAAATTCACAGAACTCAAGTAGCAGATATGCTACTTTTACCACCCGGAGCCCATTAAGATGTGAGGGGTCTGTCAATAAGGGAGATCTGGTACAGGGGCTGAATTTGGACACACATGGGACTGACAAATCGAACTCTGCCAGATTGTATTTCTTTGTTCTCTTTTGCCTCTTCCACATCCCTAACCTTAGATGGCTTAATTCCAAGACTACCCAATCAGACCCCTTGAATTAGAATTAATAGATATGTATAACCCCTACTTTCTTTCACCTCTTAAAATTGATATCAAGCTTTTGTTCAGGGAAGCTAATTCGAGCTTTGTCTCTGGTCTCCTTGTTCAATTGGCCTGATGAATAAATCTCTTTATTGCTGCAAAAATCTGCTGCTTCATATTGTTTACTTCTCTGTAAGCGATGGGCATCGCACTCAATGCCTTTGTTCAGTAATAACATTGTACTCATGGATTGGAAAGATTAATATTGTTAAAATGCCCATATTACCCAGATAAATCTACATATTTAATGTAATCCCTATTAAAATACCAAAGGCATTTTTCACAGAATCGAAACAAAAATCCTAATATTTATTTGGAACCACAAAAGTCTCTAAATTGCCAAAGCAATCTTGAAAAAGAAGAACAAAGTTGGAGGTATTATGCTCCTTGATTTCAAACTGTAGTACAAATCTATAGTATTCAAAACAGCATGGTAGTGGCACAAAAACAGACACAAATCAATAGAACGGAATAGAGAGACCAGAAATAAACCCACACTTATATGGTCAAATAATCTATGGCAAGGGAGGCAAGAATATGCAATGGGAACGTGACAGTCTCTTCAATAAATGGTTTTTGGAAAACTGGATAGATACATGCAAAAAGTGTATCCCAGACCACTTTCTTACACCATATACAATAATAAACTCAAAATAGATTAAAGACTTAAATGTAAGACCTAAAGCCATAAAACTTTTAGAAGAAAATATAGGCAGTAACTCTTTCATATTGGTCTTAGCATCATTTTTTGGATATGGCTCCCCAGGAAATGGCAACAAAAGCAAACATAAACAAATGAGACTACATCAGACTAATAAGCTTTTGCACAGAAAAATAATCCATCAACAAAATGAAAATAAAATCTTCTAAAGGGGAAAAGATATTTGAAAATAACATATCCGATATGGGGTTTTTATCAAAAATATATCAAGAACTCATACAGCTCAACATCAAAAAAACAAACAATTTGATTAAAAATGTATAGACATTTCTCTAAAGAAGACATGCAGATCATCAACAGACATGAAAAGATGCTCAACATCTTACAGAGAAACACAAATTAAAACCACAATGGAATATTATTCAGCAATAAAAATGTATAAAATATTGCCATTTGCAATAACATGGATGGGCCTAGAGGGTATTATGTTAAGCGAAATAAGTCAGACAGGCAAATACAAATACCTTATGAACTCACTTATATGTGGAATCTTCAAAAACAAAAAACAAAACAAAACAAACAAAAAAGCAAAAACAGACTCATAGATACAGAGAACAAACTGATGGTTGCCAGAAGGGAGGGGGTTTGAGGATAGGTGAAAAAGGTGAAAAATAAGAGGTACAAACTTCCAGTTATAAAATAAATAAATCACAGTCTATAATGTATAGCACAGAGAATAGTGCCAATAATATCATAATAACTATGTATGGTGACAGATGGTTTATAGACTTGTAATCATCTCCTAGAGTATATAAATGTAGAATCACTATGTTGTACACCTGAAAATCATATAATATTGTATGTCAATTGTACTTTAATGCAAAATAAATTAAAAAATAAAATTGTATCTAGCAATCACCACAAACACAGCTCACATCTGTAAAATTACTTTTAACATAAAAGCTAGAAGTTGTTCCTCCAGACTCCTAGCCCAGTGTACTTCCCACTATATCAGCTGACTTCATAGACTAGCAGAGTGCACTACGAATCACTAGGCATGAGAATTTGTATTGAATCACAGCACCAAGAGGAAATGGGGAAGAACTGAAGTCAGACCAAACTTGCTATGATTAGTAAATAATTCAGATCCCTCCTGGATGCCTTTTCCTGCCCAACAACAGGCATGGATATGTTGAAGGGAAGTATTTTCTTGTAGACACATGTCGGGTTCACATTTTGCTCTCTGCTGTGTGACATGTATGTATCAGGAGGCAGTGGATTGCTCAGCCTGACCATGGAGACTTCACTTTGGGGGAATGGAGGCCATCAAGGGCCAGACTAAGGGACCTGGAATTTTCCCTGCTCACATAGGTGCCTGACAGGATACATTAAATGGAGTTGACCTGGTGATTGCTGACTGGGGGTGGGGAATTGAAGAGTACAGAGGCTGGTCACAGAGGAATATATCTCTGAATATATCTAACTGAAAGCAGGAATATTCTGCTGTTTCCCAGCTGCTCCAGGATTTAGGCATACTTAATTAAGGGCAACTCCAACAGTCCAACATAAACCAGAGCGCATCACCTAAGACACAACAGATGCCTAAGCTGTCTTGTATAGCCTCTGTGCTAATCTTCTTTCACCTCTTTTCTGCCCACTACGTGTGCCAGATATGACTTGATTTTCTTGGCTGGAAAATGTAAATTTAGCAATGATCTCTGTTTGCATCATTGAAAGTTGGCATGCCCCATTTCAAAGTCTTTAATAAGAGCAGGCTTCCTTGGATGCTCTTGATTGGCAGGGCATGTTCCAGACAGTGTGGGTAGGAAGGCTATTTGCACATTAAAGCATTATCCCAGAAGCCCCAGTGTCCTATTATAATTGAGTATCAAGTCAGGGAATGAGATTCTTCACCTTCCTCAGAGAAAGGTAGATCAAGAACTTGTGGCAGAAACCCCAACAACAGTCCATTGCCCTCCTATGACTTGCAGTGTCAAGAGAATGGCACTTTGTAGATGATCTGAATCACTTCATGGATCCCCCTTCACATAGGAGGGCACATAACCACAGGTCCAATCTGGATTTCCTTTTCACCTTCTGTATTTGGAGCTATCTGCTCCCATACTATTATTGACTGGTTTGAAAAGTTCTGTTATTTTTTGTTTCTGGGGGTAGGCAGAGAACATTTTGATTGCTGTGGCATACTTAATGAGGCCTTTGTTACCCCCGATTTTGCAAACATGTTCTCTTCTGTAATAATTTTTAGGATTACTTTTGCTTGTTTCAGACCCAGTTAACTAGCATTCACCTAAAAATAAAAGGCCTTTCAAAGTGAGATGCAAGGATCATTTATGTGAGATTAAAAAAAAAAAAAGAATACCTTCTCAGGAAGCACTGATTCAGGCAGAAGTCCAAATAATGTTCTGATTAGGAAATAAAGGCAAAGGGTATTTATGAAAAAGGAAAAGGAAAAAATTACATGAATAGTAGGAAGAGATTTATTCTATTACTTCACATGAGCTACCATGTGATGCTAATTCTAAACAATATATATATTTTTAAATTTTCAGTCCAGTAGC